ACATATTCTGTCTGTTTTTCTCGATAGGATCCTTTCATATTCACGGATAAGCTTTTTGTGTGGTTATTAAAAGACAAAAGGAAAACACCGTGTTGGCTCATATTGTATTTATATCCGAGTACTTTCGACATAGCATAATGTCATCATCAGAGTATTGTTAAATATAGAGTAAGTATTTAGTGTTCATGGTTGTGAAGGACAAAAATTGTTGTGGTCATCCGAAAATTACCATTTGACGATTGCGTTGAGTACGAAACTCAGACTTGTGCTACCCGTGAAGAAATGAAAATGTATATTTCTTAATAATATAAATTATAGCTCTGTTATTATCAGTCGAGCACTATTGTATTAGCACCAGTCATATGCTATAAATAAATATGCATTTGTCTCTTACCGCATGAATTTTATCAATGTTTTATCACCACCCGCACTCACAGTGCGATGTTATATCTATCTATCTATCTATCTATCTATCTATCTATCTATCTATATATATATATATATATATATATATATATATGTGTGTGTATCTATAATGTGTGTATGCGTGTGCATACGTATGTGCGTATTCAATGTCTCAAAAAAAGTTCACTTGACTACTCTGATTGACCGACTTTCTCTTTGAAATACTCATCAGACACTTTTGATAGATTTATTGAAATTATTATCAGATCTCATATTTATACTACTGGGAACAAATGCAAATCAAATTTCTTTAGAGTTTATATCACCATATGTACATATATACATTCTAACCTATAACCTATATATATATATATATATATATATATATATATATATATATAAATATATATATATATATATATATATACAAATGACAATAGGAAAACTGTAGTAATTGCCAACGTGTTTCGTCCAATGTGTACTTTCTCAAGGCAAAAAACGAAATGAATTTATTTAAAATTAAAAGTAAACTAATAAAAACAAAAGAAAAATGTCCTTAGCAACTGGAAGAATTTAGAGAACATTATTTTCATACTGTTAACTGAAAATTACGTCAATTACTGTCACGTGTCGAGATATTGTTATTATTGCTGTGTTGACGGATTCAACTATTTTCTACAGGTTAATATATATATATATATATATATATATATATATATAAATATATATATATATATATATATATAAATATATATATATATATATATATATATATATAAAAAAAAATTTAAGATAGAGTATATGAATAAAGACAACAGGAAAACTTATCTTAGCCTACGCGTTTCGTTCTTTCAGTGACTTTATCAAGGCAAATGCAAAGATTTTCTTTTGTAATAATTGTCAATATAAAAGAGCAAAAATATTATTGGTGTTTCAAAATTTTTCATTTCAGGAACGCTCATAAATATTCATCATGTTAACTGAAAAGTCAGGCAATCTCTGGAGGACATGAAGTCACACAATTAAATGAAATAAACCAAAGTGAGGAAATGATGTCTTTTTTAATCATTTTTTAAAATGCAAATTAGTATTTAAATTAATTTAGTTTGGAATTAACTTATGTGTTATATATTTCAAATGACATGAGGTTATGGATTTAACGGTTTTCTTTTAAATTTTAACATTTTTGTCGTCATGTATCTTGGCTGGGAAAGTAGTAATTCTTCCAGGTATGGAAATATTGATAAAATAACGGGAATAAGATTCGAAAGCAACACTCTCGTGAATTTTCTTTCGAAGTAACTTTCTCTTTTAACAGAAAAATTCTCGAGAGCGCAGCTATCTTATCAAAATATAAATCTACACCCCGGATAAGATTCCCCTATGTCTTTATTCATATATATATATATATATATATATATATATATATATATATATATATATATATATATAAAAGAAATATGTTGTAGTGGTTCCAACGAGAGAAAAGTATGTATATTAAAAAGAAGAGGGGGTGCCGCAAACGTTTTTGGTTGTAATGTGGATTTATTGAGAAAAAATATTATACTTTGTTTTACATAATTTCACGACACGTGTTTCTGGTCTGGTCTCGCAACCGTCTTCAGGTGAAAGTGGAGATTTTATATTATTAAAAAATAATTAATTTTTCTTCATGTTCAATGTGGAATATTCTCGATATGAGACATTCTGTTTGTGTGTTGGCAATCCGAATTTTCTTTCTAGAATTGTCAATGAAGAGTTCTGCGTGAAGGGTCATAAAACAATTAAGGTTTGTCCAGCGAGTAGTTATCGGCATTTAATCTTTTAATGTTTTAGTGACCTCTATGTGCTCTTGGATCTGTTTCTATTTTGGCGTGTTCCTGTCAGCATGCGTGTATATATGCGTGCGTATATTTCCTTACTACGAGGAATTCGTAAACTTATTTGTACTTATACACGCATACACACACATACGCACATACACACTATCCCACCACAAGTAGTCAGTACACACACACATATACACACATATTTCCCAAGCTACATGGAACCAGAACACACACACACACACACACACACACATACATACACACGCACACACACACACACACACGTACTTCTTAAGTTGTCAACATCCGCATATACATACATAAATGTATGTATGTGTACATACACATATATATATCTCCTCGTGTCTCCCGTATATGAGTGTGCGTCCATGTATGTGAGCGATCATTGTATTTGGTCACCCTGTGTGCATGTTTTTTTTTGGGGGGGGTTACGATCTATTCAGTTCGGGTTTGAATTTGTCTATAAAGTTTTTTTCCTGTATTTGTAGATACGAGTAATTGTCTGTTTGATATATCGGCATGATATTAAACTTACCCTGGTTACATTTGAAAATGTGTTGTGATACAAAAAGTTTTCTGTTGTCTGTCAATTTTATATTGCTTTTGTGTAGGGAGACCCTGTTGTTCAGTTGTTGGCTGATGCCTATATATGACTTCTTACATTTTGTGCATTTAAGTGCATAAACTACATTTTGGAGTTGCAGTTTAAGTTTTTGTTTATTGTGAATGTTTTTTTGGGTTTTCAAAAGTGTAGGAGTTTCCTTCTATAATGATGTCACAAACTCCACATCTTTTTTGTTGCATTTTGTGACTCCTTGTATTTTGTGTTGACTAAATTTAGATGAGGTTAATATGTGTTTTAGGTTTCTAGATTGGCGTTTGCTCTTAATTATTTTGGTTGTTTTAGTATATTATTCAGTTTATTATTCTTGCTAAGTAAATCTAGATTTTTTGTGATTTCTGGGAATATTTCTGGGTTGTTTTTGTTGTACGTTGAGACATATGCTAGAGTTTGTTCGACGTTACGTTTCTTTTATTTCTAAGTTGGTCTAGAGGAATTTCTTTCATGAGTTCAATACCTTTGTTTATTAGTGTTGTAGGGTAGCCTCGTTTCTTGAGAGTTTTATGTAGTTCTTCTAAGCGGATTTTTCGGAGATGTTTATCAGTCACTATTGTACAAATTCTACGTGCTAGGGAATAGGGGATGGATTTTAGGCAGCTTTTTTGGGCGATGGCTCTTGAAATGAACGTTCATTTCAATCCGCTTAGAAGAACTACATAAAAACTCTCAAGAAACGAGGCTACCCCACAACACTAATAAACAAAGGTATTGAAAAAGAAATTCTAGACCAACTTAGAAATAAAAGAAACGTAACGTTAGCATATGTCTCAACGTACAACAAAAAACAACCCAGAAATATTCCCAGAAATCACAAAAAATCTAGATTTACTTAGCAAGAATAATAAACTGAATAATATACTAAAACAACCAAAATAATTAAGAGCAAACGCCAATCTAGAAACCTAAAACACATATTAACCTCATCTAAATTTAGTCAACACAAAATACAAGGAGTCACAAATGCAACAAAAAGATGTGGAGTTTGTGACATCATTATAGAAGGAAACCCTACACTTTTGAAAACCCAAAAAAACATTCACAATAAACAAAAAACTTAAACTGCAACTCCAAAATGTAGTTTATGCACTTAAATGCACAAAATGTAAGAAGTCATATATAGGCATCAGCCAACAACTGAACAACAGGGTCTCCCTACACAAAAGCAATATAAAATTGACAGACAACAGAAAACTTTTTGTATCACAACACATTTTCAAATGTAACCAGGGTAAGTTTAATATCATGCCGATATATCAAACAGACAATTACTCGTATCTACAAATACAGGAAAAAAACTTTATAGACAAATTCAAACCTGAACTGAATAGATCGTAACAAAAAAAAAAAAAAAAAAAACATGCACACAGGGTGACCAAATACAATGATCGCTCACATACATG